CCATTTGTTTGTGCAGTGTTCAGAGGTGTGTGTTTGCACACGTGAATGCAAAGTAAGTAATCAGAGGCAAGGGTTGGTTGATTGTCAGGACACTGCACTGCAGGCTTTGCTTCATTAGTCTGCACTGCATATCAGAGCACGAGTCTCTTGGCACTTGGCAAGTGTTATAATCTGCATGACTACAAACGATTGAAAACTTTGCTCAAGTGTTTGAAGAGTGGAGGAGCCTTGGCAGATCTCCACACTTATGTTTTCTGGAGATTGACTGTTGAGAGCTGGAGGAGCCCCAGGGTTCTGAGTGGCATGGTTTCATCTGTGGAGTGCCTGACTTTTGAATGCAGGGCCATAGGTAGACTGTAGGGCCCCACCTCCAGCCCTCCCTGGTGCCTGCCTGCCTGATACCAACCCATCCTTGCTTTGAGTCAGCCTCTTTATTAGCAAAAGCAGGGGCACAGAGGTACATGGTGAGTGCCTCTTTTCCAGGTTTGATCTGCCTGAGACTGCGGATGGGGAGAGGGGTCTCTTGTGAATCAGGAGCAGTAGTGAAGAGGCTAGTTTGCTAAACTGGACATAGAAATGGGGTGAGGTGGTAGGGTGGATGTGAGGAGGAACCAAGAATAAGAAGACTCCAGAAGGAGCTAGTTTTGACAAAAACACTAGATGTCACTGGGACCTTTAGGAGCCTTAGCTGGACCTTGTCCAACCCCCCCTCCTCCATTTTGGATTTGAAGAAAATGAGGTCTGGGAAGGGATGGAGCCACCTTTGCCCAGGGAACCTAGATTTGCCACACTCCCATACTTACCCAGAGCAGAGCGGCCTCGCGAGCTGTCACACCGGTTATTTTGTTTGAAAATGAAGCCTTATCACTTCATTTTCTGTGGGAGCTGGTGGGATCAGATAAGCCACTGTTGGGAACTAAATCCTTTAGCTGTCTCAGGTGGGGGCTGTGTCTTCAGTAAACAGCTGTGCTGTTATCTTTCAGAGAAACTGACCCTTAAGCATAGAAAGGGGAGGGAAGAGAAGGGACATCTGTGGTATGGTAAATTTCCTTTAGAGTAAACATGATTTGACTATTTAATGACTCAGTAAATGAGTTGGTCTTTAATTATTTTAAAACAAAGGGGTCATATACCCTTAGACCTCCAGAAACCATCTTCTGAAGGTGTAGGAGTCAAAATGTGACAATGGAAAGTCCCAAGTCCCGTATCTGGTGTCCTTTTGACCTGGGTCCAATTTACAGGACTGCTGTGTCTTCAATTTGGGGAAGTTAGTGGATTTCTCTGAGCCTCAGTGTTGTTACCATAAAACAGGATAATATGCATCACAAGACTGCTGTGTGAGTCAAATTAGGACATGTACATCAAGTAGCACTTCAGTGAGTGCTGGGTTGCTAACTTCCCTGGCTCTAGTCAGTGGCCTTTGAGGCCCATATGGAAGGACATTGTTTCACTGAGATATTGAATCTCTCTACTCCCTCTCTTGTGTGCCCTCACTGTGCAGCAGGGTACAGTGGGCATACTCCAGGTCGTATTGGGATGGAAATACTCTGTATCTTGGGGAGACTTGGCAGAAGTGTTGGCTCTGCACTTTCTCTAGGTGGTTCCAGAAGTCAGTTTTCACTGCTCCTGAGTAGTGGAAGAGTCATCTATCACCCCTAGTTCCAGTAGGGATTTCACATCCTCGTGCTGCAGGGCCTAGGGGTAAGGGCCAACAAGAGGTCAGTTCTCCACTCATGCTTTCTGCAGCATAAGCCAGGGGATGGAAAACACAGCTCCAGGTGGTTTTGAAGCCTACCTCTTGCTCACCTGCCCTTGAACTTGAGAGGGAAGGAGGGGCCATTGAGACATGGAAGTTTGAGTTCTCAGGGTACCTTCAGCACAGATATCTACCCCTCAGTCAGGCTGTTGCTTCCCAGGCTTAGCTCAAGTGCATTCCAGCCCTTTCCTCCTGCCCCCGAGTCCCACACCTGCTCTGAAACCGGTTGGGCAACCTACTTCTGTAGTGACACTGCTTCGGAGGGGTCACTATGAGATGGGTTGGGTTCGACTCTATGGCACATAACAACAACTGGTCCTTTGTGGCTGCTCAGGCCATATCTCATCCTCACACTCCCACAGCCCATATTCATGCCTTGGCCCATTGCCTCACCTTCCTACATTCATTTCTATTATTTGTGTACTAGATCTGAATCTCCTTGAGAATTGTGTATCATGTACTTTTATGTCCTCCCAAAGTGCCATTTATTAAACTGGTCAGTACTGAATAAATGTTCAGAAATAACTGTTGACCCTAGTACATTCTAATTACCCTGTTGTGCTCAGAAGCAGAGAGGTGAAATGATTGTCAGTGGACCACCTAACTGGGAAAGGAGGGGCAACGGATGCTGTTTGCCCCTGAGTGCACAGGGTGTACTGGAAGGATGTGAGGGGAATGGTGAAGGGTAGCATACTGTGTAAGGGACTTGACTGCTAACCAGAAGGCTGGCAGTTCAAACCCACCAGCCACTGCTCCGAAGGAAGATGTGACAATCTACTTCTATAGTGATACTGGCTCAGAAACCCAAGGAGAGGTCACTATGAGTCGGGTCCGACTCGACATCACATAACAGCAGCAACATCCCAGGAGTGGATATGAGCCCTCATGTACATTTGATGAGTATTAGCTTTTGTATACCAACGCAGAAGTGTTTATCAGATTTGTCGTCAGGGACGGCATAGCACCGTCATTTGACTTGCTTACAGTCACTGGAGGCTGGCAGTTCAAACCCACAAGCCACTCTTCAGAAGGAAGACTGGGTAATCTACTTCAATAGAGATACTGCTTCGGAAACCCAAGGATGGGTCGCTATGAGTTGGAACCGACAGCAGTGGGTTTGTTTTTTTGTTGGATCAGGGACCAAGCCATGTGTTACAAATCATACACATGTCAGGATCCCAGAGAGGCTTTAGAAGATGTGGATTGTTTCAGGCTCTGAGGAATCTCCTGTTTAACACAGGCAGGTGAAAGCCATGGTTTCCTCCTAATTGTTCTGTGAACTATAATCCAGTAGTATGTAATTTGGCCACATAAAAGGATTGGAAGCAGGCCTATAAAGGTTCTTTCCTGCTTGACCCCGAACTTTGGTCTACCGTAAGTTGTCATCTTCACCATCAATCCTAAACTCATGTCAGACACACTGGTAGAGACCTCTGTGTACCAAATAGGCCCTATGCTGGACATGGGCAATTCGGAAAGAGGAAACAGGGAAATGGGTCCATGTCAGCTTTTCAAACACATCAGAAGGATTTTGGGTGAGACTGGACACAAGACAAAGAAGACAGTGAATAAATACCTCTCAGAGTGGGAGTTGAAGGTGAGCAGAGTTCTGGAAGGCTTCTTGAGGCATCTGGGTCTTGAGACTAGAATGAGGTGGAGCCTTCAGACAGAAGCACGGAGATATGTTCATGTCCCTTTTATCCTGGTGTCATTAGCACCACGACAGCTCTTCCACAATGACCAGGGAATGTGAAGGACCCAGCTTTCCAAGGCTAGACCACCCCAGAGGCTGTATTTTATTCTGTGGCTTATGGCCAGCCAGGCACATAATCCTGTATGCTTTGATCTAAGACAGTACTTGTTAAACTTTAACAGACGTATGAACTGCCTTTTGATCTGATTAAAAGGCAGTATGGGGTTCCACCGTTCTGAGGTGGGGCTGTAGAGTGGTTTCCAGTGAGCTCTCAGGTGGTGCCTGGACTGCGAGTCCACGATTAGGGTATTTCAGTGAGGTAGTAAGATCTATCCTGTCCCAGCTGAGTCCCTCCATTCTAAAATACCAGCCCTCCCTGGACACACACACACACACACACACAGACACAGACACAGACACATATACTGGCCTCCCTTCCTTTTCTTCTCTGTGAGATACTAAATTATTCTGTCTTAAATGCTGTTTTCATTTGATAGTCCCTTGCTTAGAAGTGCCTTTTTTATTTCCTAAATGAACTGCTCAGAAGAAGCAGATCTCTGTTGGCATAGTGGTTAAAGCATTCAACTGCTAAGCAAAAGGTCAGCAGTTCAAACCCATCAGCCACTCCTCAGAAGAAAGATGAGGTCCTATGGGGAAGTTCTACCTTACAGTTGGTGGAAGCCTTAGTGAGACACCTGGGCTTAAGCTGGGGAAAAAGTGGTGGTAGAACCCCCATCTTCTGTTCATTTAGCAATTGTCTATGTAGTTCTGTTCCCAAGATAAAAAATGTCAGATCAAATACTAGAGTTTAACAGTGACCATCTCTGTGTGGTAGACTTTCAGGGGATATTTGCTGTCTTGCCAACTCTAATTTTATGTATTGTCTCTTTTTACCCCCCTGTGCAGCTTTTATTTCAATAATGAGTAAGCAGTAAAGCTATTTGCAGTTGGTGGAAATTTACAGAGATTGCATGCTTACCACGAATGAGATTCTTCTGGCACAGATGGGCTGGATGATAGGCTATGGTCCCTGTTTCTGAGGCATCGCAGACTGAAGAGGGAGAAAGATAGGCTAACAGAATGATGTAATTGATGTTCTGACTCTCCCCTGATCAAAGAAGAGAATGCAGCCCCTTACATAGGGAGGCAGTTGCTGAGCCTGTGGATTATAAAGATGCAGACATCAACCAGGATGGGAATGAGGGGATGCAATATGGAAGGGCACCACAGACTGGAGGCCACAACCTTGGGGGCAGGTGGAAAGGGAAACAACCAAGTGGGAAGGCTGTCGTGTCTCTATCGTTGCTCCTGGCTACCTGGTGAGCTTCTCAAAGTAGAAGCTGCCATATGTCTATGGGCTTCCTAGGCTCTTGCAACAGCGGGTGCTCAGTAGTCCTTGTCGGGTCTCATCTCTGACACTGCTGGCCGCTGCCCCTTCCCCCACTCTCTTTGCTTCCTGGCTAGCTGCCTAGTTAGAACTTTGTAAGGGAGATCAGATTCTAGCTGTTCTCTGGGAGCAGTAACTTCTTCTTCCTTCCTCTCATTCTTCAGAAATGTCTTTCCTCCAGGACCCCAGTTTCTTCACCATGGGGATGTGGTCCATTGGTATGGGGGCACTGGGGGCTGCTGCTGTGGCACTGTTCCTGGCCAATACAGATATCTTTCTGTCAAAAACCCAAAAAGCAACACTGGAGTATCTGGAGGACATAGACCTGAAAACACTGGAGAAGGGTAAGCAGTGACCCACCAGTCTCAGTACTTTTCCAAAGTGCTGGGATTCAGGATTACTTTTTTTTTTTTTGCTTTATTTCCTTCTAAACAGCTTTTTATTGAAAAGCCTATATAGCAACATTAGGGAACATATAGTAAGACTTTTTAAATTACCAATAGTTCCATTACCCTACCACAATAATCACTTTTATATATTCCTCTTCATGTATACATATTTTTATGTAGTTGTGCTCTTGGTGTAAGTGCTTATTAAATTTTAGTTTTTCCTTACTAAAAGTTTTTCACCTTCTACTGTTGTCTATAATTATATTGATAAATTGCTCCATGATATTTAGAAATGCTGTACAATTGCTTACTAAACCAGCCCTTTCAAAGTGTTTTCTGAGGAATTCCAAGCTCATGAGATCTTCATGAAAAGGAGGTTCCTGAGTCAAATAACTTTGAGAAACACTATTTGTCCTATCCCATGTTCCTGATGATTAGCACAGGGATAGGATTATTAAAATGAGAGGTCTAGTTTATTTACTGATACGGGGTACTCAGCCATTATTAATGACACAGCTACAGCATATTGGGAAGCTGTACAAGGTCACACTTGTAGGATAACCCACTACTCTGCTTTTTCTGGGAACCTACCTGGAGTCATTCCTGGATAGCTGAGCCCACACACTCAAACTTGCAGCTCTATTGCCTCACTGTGTATCCTTGGCATTGAATTTGAAGCTTGGAGGATTTCAGTCATGCTGATAGATGGGTACAGCTGGCAAATGATCATTGGAGCTCATTGACTAGGCAATCTCCAGCTTGGCCCTGCAATAGAATCCACTGTCAACTATTCAGTGTTGAGGGAAAACAGGAACTGTGATTGTGAAGATTTGTAATGTAGGCTACATTAGCAGGAGACTTAAGAAGCCTTGCAGATAGACACCTGTTTATCCCAGTGTTTACCAGTCTTGTTTGATTATAGATTTTGTTCCCCTACCACCACCACACCCCACCTTTTTTCCTAACATATCATTCCTGCTAGGTAGATATAGATCCCTCTGGGAAGTAATAATACAGCTTCATACTTAGTGAGCCACCTCTCTACTACAGACACTGTGGTGGACACTTTTATATCCATATTTTAATATTCCTGCAGGCCAGACTATTAGCTACTGTTGCTACTGTTACATGACAAGTAAGGAGTCTGAGATTCAGAGAGGAGAGATAGCTTGCCCAGGCTCACACAGCTAGATTCGTACTCAGTCTGAACAGGGAGCTGTGGTTTGAAATGTTGTACTGTACTACCTGAAAGTATTTCCTTGTTGATCATCTACCACTCCTCCATTGATAGTGTTGCAGTTTACATAGCTAGGTTAATTAAAAAAAATAATAATAAATTTCTATTGACTTAATTTCTTCAAATGTTTTTAAGAATGGGACTTATTTTTGTCCAAGTGTATAATCACTTCCAGATTTTCGCTATTTTCTTTCCTAAAGGATTGTTAGGATGCTCAATGATATGACAAAAAAAAAAAAAAAAAGGAAATTGCTGTTTCCTAGTAATCTGCCAGTTTAGGGTTTTCAAGTTTAAAAATAGATAGAGGAGGGAGCCTTTTGGCTTTACCTTCGTATACACTACATTAATTTTCCGCAGGAGGCTGAACATTCCCTGAATGTGATTCCTCCTTGCCTTTTCCCACATATGAAATGTCTGCCCTCATCCTCTGCTAACCCTGATTTCTGACTTGGGATGGGCCCAGTAAGGTTTAGGACATCCTTAATGGTTGTGAGTCTGGTGGACTGGGCTAGGGGAGATGGTAAGTTTTCTTTTCCTTCAGAACCCAGGACTTTCAAAGCAAAGGAGCTTTGGGAAAAGAATGGAGCTGTGATTATGGCTGTGCGGAGGCCAGGCTGTTTCCTGTGTCGAGAGGTAAGTACACTTGAGGGTCTTTTCAGTTAAAAGGATCTTGGCAAGTTTACAGCCAGGACCAAAGATCTGTAGACCCACTTTAGCCCTTGGTTAACACTGGTCTGGTCTCTATTGTTTGCTCTAGGTATTTCTTTTGACTTATGCTCTGTTTTTGTTAATTTAACAGTTCACCATCTCCTGCTGGGATTACAACACAAGAGACTTTCACCCCCCTTCCCCCATCTTTTTGTAGTGTTCCCTCCTCTACCCTCCCACACCTGGTAACAAAGAAAATTTCCTTCCATATATAGACCTATTCTTGACTTTTTGCAATAATGAATACAATATTTATCCTTCTGTGATGACTTATTTCACTCAGCATAATGTCCTCTAAGTTCATCCACATTATACGGTGTTTTGCAGATTCTACATTATTCTTCAGGGTTGCATAGTATTCCATTGTGTGTATGTACCATAGTTTGGTTATCCATTCTTCTGTTGATGGGCACCTCAGTTGTTTCCATCTTTTTGCTATTGTAAATAGCACTGCAGTGAACATGGGTGTGCATATATCTGTTCTTGTCTTGGCTCTCACTTCTTTAACACCTGAGTTTTTTTGGTACTCCCAAACCCTTTTACCGTATGTTATACTACCTGTATCCTGGACTGTGTTTCTGTTTCATTAGGTTCAGGGACAATTCTGTGTTCCTTATGCTTAGCCCAGGGATAGCCTCATTAAAATGAGAGGTCTGGTTTATTATTGATACAGGATACTGAGCCCTTGCACAGGTGTGGTATATGAGGAAGCTCCACAAGGTCATACTTACAGGATAACCCACCAGTCTGCCTGTTCTGGAGACCTGCCTGGAGTCTGTCCTAGACACCTGAGCACCACACACTAGAATTGGTAGCTCTTTTGCCATACTGTATGTCCTTGGCATAAGATCAGTAGGATTTCAGTATGGCCAATAATATGAGTGCAGTCAGCATGAAAGTTTGATAGGTGGTTATTGAAACTCCTTAAGTGGGCAGTCTCCAGCTGGTCCCATAAATGGAAGCTATTGTTACCTGTTCAGTATGTCAAGAGAAAGCAGTAGCTGTGATTTTTGAAACACAAAATGCTAGTGTTAGAGGAAACAGTGGAATGACTTGAGTCCAGCATGTCTCTTTACAGATGGATAAACCAAGGGCCAGGGCATATTGGGGACCTATCGTAGTCGCACAGGTTGGCCAAGCTAGTATCAGGGCAGAAGATCTGGGTTCTCATATCAATGTTTAGGCTGGGGAGAGCTGAGAATTACAGTATCCCTGTTCTGGAGACAAATTTGCCATCCTAGTTGTCCTCCTCCTTCCTTTGACTAACTCCTGGTCCAGAGGCATTGTATGTCAGCCATCATGGTCTCTTCCATGCTTACCTGACTAGGCTGGCAAAAATCCTGTTTACACTGCTAGGTGCATATTATGCACTGCAGTGCATTACATGCAGTCACCATTATGTTTGCTGTCTCATTGGTTTCTCACTTGAATCCCTGAAAAATACAGCTTCTTGTTATTCTCATTATACAGAAGGGGAAACAGGCTCAGAGAGATTGTGACAAAGTCACAATGCTGTTAGAAGGTGTATGAGTTTTCTATGGCTACTGTAACAGATTACCACGTGACTTAAAACAGCACAAATTTACCATCTTATAGTTGTAGAGGTCAGAAGTCTAAAATATGTCTCACTGGACTAAAGTCAAGGAATCAGCAGGGCTGGTTCCTTCTGGAGGCACTAGGGGAGGACCTATATCCTTGCCTTTCCACCTTCCAGATGCTGCCTGCAGGTCTTGGCTTGTGGCCCCCTCCTTCATCTTCAAAGGCAGCAATGGCCAGTCGAGTCTTTCATATCAAATCACTCTATCACTGACTCTTCTACCTCCCCCTTCCACATTTCGGGACCCTTGTGATTACACCGCACCCACCCAGATAAAATAATCCAGGATGATCCCTTATTTTAAGGTCAGATGATAGCACCCTTAAATCCATCTGCAGTCTGTTTCCACCTCACTGTGTACTGGTGGGAGCTCTGGTGGCATAGTGTCTAAGGCATTTGACTGCTAACCAGAAAGCTGGCAGTTCAAACCCATCAGCCACTCCTTGGAAGCAAGGTTGGACAATCTACTTCCATAGTGATACCACCTCGGAAACCCGAGGAGGGGTCGCTATGAGTCGGATTTGACTTGACAACAGTGCGTTGCGTTGTATGTTCTGGTGGTGTAGTGGTTAAGTCATTCAGCTGCTAACTAAAAGGTTGGTGGTTTGAACCCACCAGCTGCTTTGCTGAAAGATTGAAGCAATATACTTTCATCAAGATTTACAGCCTCAGAAACTCTGTATGGCAGTTTTGCTCTGTCCTAAAGGGTCGCTATGAGTTGGAATCAACTTGATGGCAGTGGGTTTGTTTTTTTTGGGTTCTGGTGTAACCTAAACTATTCATAGGCTCTGGTTCCAAATACCAAAATGGAAGCCTGTTGTGACTTGATTTCTCCATGTAAGTTAAACCAAAAAGGTTCAAAGAGCGCTGCTCTCCCTTATCGATTGTAACTTGTTTTCCTGTGCTCTGGGTCTGTGCCCTGGCATAGCATTTTGTGGAAACTTAGGTTTCAAAAAGGATGTGGCATAGCATTTTGTGGAAACTTAGGTTTCAAAAAGGCGTTGGTATGAGTCATGTTGAGTGGCCTGGGGAAGAGGTGTGTCACTGGTTTCTACTTCATGGCTTTGCATAGTGATACACCCAGAGGAAAGAGTCCAGAAAGAGTGATTAAAACCTTTTAGCTCATGAACAGGCAGTTACTGACCACTTCTGACTCCACATTGTCCTCTCTGCTCTAGGGCAGAGGTTGCCATGTACTAAAGCTCTTGATAAGTGCTTTGTAATCATCTCTACTTCATTTGCTATGCCTTTTTCTTGTTCTAAAAAATAGATGACAAATTAAAAGTAGTTACCACCATATAGCAGTGGCAAGCACTGGAGGAAAGCACTAGTTCTACCACCAAATGTGAAAAAGTAATTTGTTCTTAAGTTGAAGCTTTACCATAACACATGTAGTTTTGATTATTCATCCAGCACATGTTTCAAAAGAGTCAGGGCTGTCTGTTCCACTCAGCTCTGCTACATTCTCCGCATTGACCACCTTTAGACTTTCAGGTGTTGTTTTTTGTATATACCTAGTCATGTGCCAGGCACCAAAGGATACCAAGAAATGGAAGAAGTAGTTTCTAACCACGAAATAACTTTGGGAACCTAAGTGACAATATTTAAGTGGGTGGTAACATGGAGACTTAGGACAAAAAAGTCACCAATCAGGGCAGATGGAGTATGCACAGAGAATGGGAGTTTCATTCCAGGCTGGCCAGGCACACTTTTCCAAGTGTAGGTTTTGCACTAGAGAAGGAAAGGAGGATTATTGCAGGGGAGGGGAATGACTGAGCAAAGGTGTGGAGGCAGCCATTCCCACAGCATGAGTTTGTCTGTCTAATAGGCCCCTGAGCTAGTTTGTTCTAGCACAGGGGAAGAGCTGGAAGAAGGGGAAGGGGAAATGCATTGTGGCAATGGGTGGATCCAATGTTTGGATCCACTGTGATGTCAGGACATCCATAAACTGAGACTTCTCTCTCCTTCCTTGGAAAGACAAGAAGTCTGGACTGGGGAGGAGGTCTGATGCCCTACACTAAGGCCAGGTACCTAGCTGGGACAGGCTTATGCTGAGCTATCCAGGCCTTGATTGTTCTGGTGGTTTTGCTGCCTTCATTCCACTACATTTAGTACCAGCTGTGCTTGGGCCCTGCGTGATGGAGGGCAGGGACTATGGGAGCAGATGTCTGTTGGCCACAGGGCCACAGATGTGCACGCCTCTGACCTTCTGTCTTCTGCAGGAGGCTGCAGACCTGTCTTCCCTGAAACCCAAGTTGGATGAGCTGGGTGTCCCCCTCTATGCAGTGGTGAAGGAGCAGGTCAGGACTGAAGTAAAAGACTTCCAGCCATATTTCAAAGGAGAAATCTTCCTGGACGAAAAGGTGTGTGAGCTAAGCCCATCAATACGGATTGTCTGGGGAGGACCGTGCTCACTTGTTAGAGCTTGGGGCCCAAGCTATATATATCTATAGATATATAGATATATATATATCTATATATCTATAGATATATCTATAGATATATAGATATATATAGATATATATATAGATATATAGATATATATATATCTGGCCTACAGCTGGCGGCTGCCTCCCTTCTAGCTGCTCTGAACTTGGAAGAGCTCTCATAATCCTCTGAACGGAAAGAACATGACTGGGTGCCTAAATATTCTCTTTGCAGTGCTTAAGTCCTTTCTGAGGTTTGACCCCTGAGGCTGAAGAATAGCTGGAACCCCACTCAGTATGTGCCACTGTGTGAGTGGGGTCTGTTATAAACCCTAACCCTAATTCTTTGCAGCATATTTCTTTCTCCTCTACCCCTACATCTCGAGAATGAAGGACTGTTATAACCCTGTCAGGCACAGGAACCTTGTGCATCACTAATGAGAAGTTTGACTCAGAGAAGAAAGCTGCAGATCTATTTCCCTAGGTCAGGACTGCTTCACCCAGTAGGATCTTCTGTTTCCCTGGGCAGGTTGAGGATATTACTTAATGGGAGCTATGTATATTGGGTGAAAGGGAGATCCCAAACCAGCAGGCTTAGTCTTTGCCTAAGGAGGAATGCCCTATTGGGAACATTGACCCCTGGAAAAGCAGGCATACAGCTATTGATGTGGGGTCTGTCTATCTCATTCCTGCAGAAAAAGTTCTATGGTCCCCAAAGGCGAAAGATGATGTTTATGGGATTTGTCCGTCTTGGTGTCTGGTACAACTTCTTCCGGGCCCGGAATGGAGGCTTCTCTGGAAATCTGGAAGGCGAAGGCTTTATCCTCGGAGGAGTTTTTGTGGTCGGATCAGGAAAGCAGGTAAATTCTTAGGTGTTCACTTATGATTCTGGGGCTATCTGAGTTTGTGAGTGAGATAGTGAGAGACAAAGTCATGGCTGACTTTGTATATTTAGGTCTCCTAGCCTTCCTTCCAGAAAGCCAGAAAGGAATATAGTGAAGGAAGTATGGGGAAACAGCTAATCTCACACATGCAGTTTCTCAGCACAGAGAGGTGCTGATGGCTTTGCTGTTCTTCAGAAAAGTAACTTAAGATGGAGTGGGTAAATAGCAGCACCAAGAGTACTGCTATTCAGGGGTGCTGTTTTCTGTGTTCATCCCAAAGAAAAGTAGCTATGGCAGTTTCACTTGTGTCTCTGTCATGGAGTCAGTCTCTCTCAGTGTTCCCAAGATACCAATGATGGAAGATGGGGAAAAGTGAAGAGGATAAAAGGAATGAAAACAGACCATATCAAGGGAAGTGACAAAGAGATGTAGGGAAGACTGCTTTTTCCTGTGGGGGCCTTACTGTTGGGATGCCCTGACAAGGAACTGACTCATTGTGAAGATGCAGAGACAACATTGGCCCTATAGGATGGTGTGGAAAGGAGAGATGAGTTCTCTGGGCCAAGAGCCAGTGGTAAGTGCTACATGTCAGATTACGGGCAGCCAGTGGAAACTCTCCTCCCTGGAGGGGCTGTAGGTAGGGGATGGAAGGATGGATGTGTATTAGGGACAAGGTGAACTGGATTCAAGCTCAAGAACAAGGTGAGGGGAGGAGTTCCAGCAAGATGGTGGAATTGGTAGACAGGCTACACAGACCCTCTGTAACAAAGCAATGAAAAACCAATTGAAACTGATACAGAAGACAATCTTGGAACCATGAACTTTGAAGGGAAGAATAAGTAAGTAGATAAATACTAACTAGTAGAAGAACTTGAATGAAACAGTGAGTAAGGAGACAAACAGAGCTGAGAACTGCTGGCTGTCCTGATGGCATAGCCATTTTGAATATTTCCTAATAGCAGCCTGAGAGTCAGTTCTGCTAACCAAAGCTGCATGGGCAAGGACTGCATTGGTGCCTGACTACCAGAAGGTAGAACAGCAAGGAGGTGGACAGGCAGACCTGTGGACTGCTGGCGGCTATCCTGAGAGTGGAACCATTTTGGATGTTTCCAAGCAGTTGGCACAGCCATTTTGAGTGTGTGTAGTTGACGTTCTTGCTTGAACTGTAACCTGGGAGTTCACTTCACCTCCCAAGGAAAGCACGGGCAGCCACACTGGAAACTGATGAATGGAGAGGTGCAATATTACCCTTGTTACTCTTGTGCCCCATGCCTGTTGGTGAACAAGGGTGTGGCCATCCCCCTGCCTCCACCCACCTTGTTGATCTGTGAGGGCTTCATCCTGGTCTGTGCCCTGGCAGACACTGGATGCTGTGCCCTGCCCCCTACAGTTTTGTTTTTGTTTGTTTTTAAATTATATTTATTTTCCTCCTTTCTTCCTCCCCCCACCCTTTTACCATCTCTGGTTCTTTTTTAATTTTTTTTCTTCCCTCATCCCTTTTCCTCATTCCCTCCTTTTTTTTTTTTTCCTTTTGGTTCTTTCCATCTCTTGTTTTTCCTTTTGCAGTTTTCCCTAATCTTTTACTTTTGCTCTTTTTTTCTCATTCTGCCCTCCCCAGATATTGTGGGTTTTTTTTTTTAATTTTACTCTTTCTTGCCTTATCTTACTTTTATCATTTTTTATATATTTTGAAAATTTTTTATTTATTGTATTTCTGTTTTCTATTATTATTGTTCCTATTTCTTTATGCAGTTTGAGTTTTTTGTTCTCATTGTTTTATTTTTTTTTTTTGTCTGAGTGTTGTTGTTGTTGTTATGTGCCGTCGAGTCTGCCCAACTCATAGCGACCCCTCCTTGGGTTTCTGAGGCAGTATCACTATGGAAGTAGATTGCCCCATCTTTATCTGAGTAGGAGACAGCAACTGTTCACACGAAACCTGCACCTCCTGCAGTGCCACCCACTGGGTGAAAGCCACCTTTTTGCACAAGCTGACCGACAATAGATGGCAGCCATTACCAACTCAACTCACCCTTAACTGCTCTTTTTGAACAGCTAACAGAGACCTGTACACACACTCTCATTCTCTATTACACCCACCAGGAGACAGGTGGTGGGTGCCTAAGTGCTAACAACTGGTGAATAGAGGAGCACAGTACCCTGCGTACACAGATATATCAAAAAATAAAGGGAAAAAAAAAGTCCTACATGAATCACACCAACATACAACTACAAGTATAAATACAGCAACATCATAATGTCTTGGAGACAACAGACCATCACAGCCCACAAAGAAAAGCAAGATATAGTAATAGAAACAAAGGGCCAGGATTACAAACCCTGAAAACATCCCCAAGGAAGAACCAGTATTAGAACTCCCTGATAAGGAATTCAAAAGAATTATATTCAGGTACCGTCAATGGATTGAGAGACAAATCAAGGAAAACACTGACAAAATCAAGGAAAACACAGCTGAAACTCCAGAACAATTTAGGAAAGCAATATAAGAACAGATTGACAAAATAAAAAATTGGATATGATACAAAAACAGCAAACAGAAATCCAGAAGATTAATAACTAAGATTTCAGAAATAGATAACACATTGAATGGACAAAGGAGTAGAATTGAATCAATGGAAGACAGAATTAATGAGATTGCGGATAAATACCTCAATACTACTTTGTTAAGGGATCAATCAGACAAAAGATTAAAACATAATGAAGAAACCCTAAGGTTCATGTGGGATACCATCAACAGAAGTAACCTACATGTGATTAGAATTCCAGGACAGGAAGAAACAGATGAAACCACAGAGGAAATTGTCAATGATTTGTTGGAAGAAAATTTCCCTAATGTGATGAAAAATGAGAATATGTCCATTGAAGAAGTTCAGTGAACTCCAAGTGGATATACCCCAAAAGAAAATCACCAAGACTCATCAAACTTATCAAAATTAAAAGACAAAGAAAGAATCCTAAAGCATCACAGGAGAAACTAAAGATAGATACCTACAAAGGGCAGAAAATAAGACTAAGCTCCAATTTCTCAGCAGAAGCGATGCAGATGAGAATGCATTGGGATGATACAAATAAAACCCAAAAGGAAAAATCTTCAACCAAGAAGTTCATACATAGTAAAATTGTCTATCAAATTTGAGACAGTCTATCAACTGTCTATCATATATGAGAGTGAAATTAGGAGATTTCCAGATAAGCAGAAATTAGGGGCATTTATTAAAACTAGACCAAGTTTACAAAAGACGCTAATGGGAGTCCTTCAGATAGAGAACTAACAACAACAAAAAACAACCGTTGATTAACACACATGATGACATAAGCCAGAAACCAACCTAGTTACAGAAGTATCCAAAATAAAATAAGCTTACAAGGCTGTAAACAGGGAACCAGAGATATCAATTGGTAAATGAGGACAACTGCAAACCAAAAAATGGAATAAATAGTGTAATTTAAAGAAATTCTAAATGATGAGGAAGTCATGACAATTGCAAGATAGAAAAGACGGTTTCACATTTGGGAAGAAAATTATAAATTGCAGGGTAACCTCATAGAAAAATATTAAACTCGGGTCAAGATAAAAAAAGAGGACAAGCACAAATACTTAGCAAATACTGAAACAATAGCAATGAAGGAGATGATAACACAACTTACAAACAATGAGCTCAGCACAAAAAAATTATATGGAACAAGGAAATCAGCAACACTACAAAAAAAATGCATAACAAAATGAAATAAAAAAGTTCATGTTTGTCAATAATTACATTGAATGTAAATGGTTTAAATGTCCCACTCAAGAGACAGAGTGTTGAACACTGGATAAGAAAACATGACCCATCGATACGCCATCTACAAGAGATTCAATGTAGACATAAAGATAAAAATAGACTAAAAATCAAAGGTTGAAAAAAGATATACCAAGCAAATGGCAACCAAAAGAGAGCAGGAGTAGCAATATTAATTTCTGATAAAATAGACTTTAAGATAAAAACCACCATAAGAAACTTAGAAGGACATTATATAATGATTAAAGGATCAGTTGAACAAGAGGATATAACCATAATAAATATCTATGCTCCCAATGAAAGAACCCCAAAATACATAAAGTAGACTTTAACAGAATTGAAAAGACAAATTGATGACTCCACAGTAATAGAAGGAAACTTTAATGCCTCACTTTGAAGAAAAGATAGAATACCTGGAAAGAAACTCAACAGGAGAACTAAACAGTACAATCCACCAACTTGTCCTTACAGACATCTACAGAGCACTTCACCCAAAAAAAGCACAATATACTTTCTTTTCCAGCATATATGGAACATTCTATAGAATTGGCCATATGTTAGACCATAAATCAAGGCCCAATAAATTTTAAAATATTGAAATACTGCAAAGCATCTTCTCAGATCATAATGCTGTCCAGTTAGAAATCAACACTAGGAAGATCAACAGAAAAAGAGCTAACACGTGGACACTGAATAATACCCTCCTTAAAAACTACTGGGTAATAAACCAAAAAAAAAAAAAAAAAATTCACGGCCATTGAGTTGGATTTGACTCAGAGCATCCCCTCCTTGGGTTTTCAACACAGTATCACTACAGAAGTGGATTGCCCAGTCTTCCTTCTGACTGGATAATAGAAGAATTTAAAAATGAAATTAAAAACTTCTTGAATCAAATGAGAATGAAAACACAACATACCAAAATCTTTGGGACACAGCAAAAACAGTGATCAGAGGTCAATTTATAACAATAAATGCACACATCAAAAAAGAAGAAAGAGCCCAAATCAACATCTTAACTCAACATCTCCAACTATTGGGAAAAGAGCAGCAAAAAAA